TGGATCGACTTTAACTAATCTATTCTCTTTTAAAATTTAAACTTTTAAAAAAAAAGATGGGAAAAATTTGATATTCCCGTCATAATTAATTTTACAGTAAATTATTGATAACGTTTATTAATGTTATCGTTAATACTAAGTGAGTATAATCCATTGAGATTTTTTCCAAACAAAACCCAAAAAATCCACCACCTCTCCAAACTCCCTCTGGTTGTCGCTATAACCGCAATAATCTGAATAGTTGAATATTAATCTATCATATCCTAATTTTTAGCCATTTAATTTTGAAAAAAAAAAAACTTTCTTCTGCTCAATAATCTTAATAGTTGAAAACTAATCTTAACCTATCCTAATTTTTAGCTCTTTAATTTTGGGGGGAAAAAAACTTTATTCTGCTCCTTAACTTTAATCTACGCAGAACCATATTTTTGGAAATTTTAAATTTTAAAAGGCGATATATACATGGCAAATATGCAGCTAATCCTAATAAGAATAAGATAATTCACATTAAATAGAATATAATCTTTTTAAACAAAATATCACGGAAATTTCAAATCCACTTCTATGGATCTTATTATTTCAATATTAGTTATCATTAACCCTATTGGGATATCCTTAGCTATAAATATCGGTTGTGCAATCGTGGTTTACTTTATTCTTTTATGGTTTATTCTTTTGCCATTTAGATTTTTATAGAGAAAAAAAATGGATGAATAATTCATGACTCACAAATTAGTTTAGAACTTCAACCCTACAAGGTTATCTCATCTTTCTTCATAATTCATCTCTCACCCGATTCCTTTCATTGTGGATAGAGGTGTGTTTTCCAATCCCACTCATCAATTTTTTAATTTTATTATTTTGGTTTTTTTTTTGCAAGAAAAATTCTAATTCCACAACGGTAGTCTTGCTCCAATTGTAAAATAACTGTCAGAAAAAAAATAATTTTTTTTGGAACGCCGAGAACCCCACCATAGATGGGTAAACCCACGCCCACTGCAATAGCCTGCAAACCACAGTAAGAGATAAACCACCTCATGCAAACCCGGGGTGACAAGCTCGGATGCGAAATCGAAGATTTATTAGTGGATTAACCATAACAAGCCCCTAGATGTGCCAATAGATAAGCTGAATGCCAACTCCTCCTCTTATTCTCAAATTTTTTTTTTAATGTTTAAGTATCCTACTATTTTACTTTTCATATTTTAATATAGAAAAATTATAATTTTCTAAAGTTAATGACATCATTTTCTCGCCAAAAATTATTCAACCAATCAAAACTATTCTTTTTTTGTACAATAACTATTCAATAATTGATACACCTCACGAGCATAATACTTACCCATCAAGATAATTATTTATTGGTATATAACCCCTAATATTCTGATTAATTAAAACATCAAGGAAATTGCGTACTCTTAATCAATGACTAAGATAATTATAGTTTTGAAAAAAAATCAAATCCGAAAGATTGTAACTTCAGAACAAATCTGTAAATTTAGAATTTAAATAATTGTTCTATATAAAAAAAATTGGATAACCATTTTAGAAATTTAATATATTTAAATAAAAGAGAATAAGCAAAGTGACAAACTATTAAAGATAAAAATGAAAATGGAATGACGAGCCAGTTCCTTTCTCCTTTTTTTTTTACGTGTTGTCACAAATACTAAATTAACAGCCAAAATCTTTACAGATTTTTAAACTACCAGATACTTGAAAAATTTTAATCAGGACGGTGTAGAGTGATATGCTATTAAAGATGAAAATGGAGATGGAATAAGACTCGCTGGTTTTTCTTTTTCATTTATTTGGTTCAACAGGCTGTTAAAAATACTAAAATGGCAACGAAAGTCATTGCAAAATAACATGTTTTTAAGGATGAAAATAAACATGAAAGATACTTTCTCTTTTTTTTTTTTTGTTCAACGGGCTGCCAAAAGTATTAAAATAACGACCAAAACCATTGTAGGTAAAAACTCAGACTCTTTTAAGCGACAAAATGCAGAGTATATGCTATTAAAGATGAAAATAAAAATGTAATGAAACCCGCTGCAAGAATTTTTATAATTAGATAGAACTACCAAAATAAAATTTCTCTAGAAAACTAAGTAGTCCTTGGTTCTTTTTTTGGTTCAACAGGCTATCAAATGCTCTAAGTAATAGCGAAAATCATTGTAGATTTTTAACCTATCAAATACTCGAAGCCTTAGATGACGATACAAAGTGACATATCGTTAAAGATAAAAATGAATAAAAAATGAGACCAGCCAGTTCATTTAATTCTATTCTATTTTGTTCAACAGGTTTGCCAAAAATACTAAAAATAACTGCTAAAATTATTATAGATTTTTATGGTATCAAAGAATTGGAACCTTTATATGGGACGATACAGAGTGGCATACTGTTAAACATGAAAATGAAGATTGAATTAGACCCATAATTTATTTTTTGTTTAACGGACTGTTTAAAAATACTAAAATAGCAGTCAAAGCCATTGCAAGCTTTTAATCTACCAAAGACTTAAAATTTTTAAGTAAGATGATGGAGAGTGACATGTTGTTAAAGATTTAAAGAAAAAGACGGAATAAGACCAGCTGAAAGACAGCCCTTTCATAATTAAATAACAGTAGCGAAGAAATTCTCTTTCGGCAAGTAATTTTTTGTTCTTTTTTGTTTTCTTTTTTTTGTTCAACAAACTGTCAGAAATATTAAGAGAAAAAAATATTTTTTTAATGTTTAAGTATCCTACCATTTTACTTTTCATGTTTTAATATAGAAAAAGTATAAATTTCTAAAATTAATGACATCATTTTCTCGCCAAAAATTATTCAACCAATCAAAATTAATCCTTTTTTTTGGGTACATTACTATCCAATAATTGATAGACCTCACGAGTATAATACTAGCCCATCAAATCCCGAATATTCTAATTAATTAGACCATCAAGGAAATTGCGTACTCTTAGTGATTAATGACTAAGATAATGTTAGTTTTGAAAAACAAAATCAAATCCGAAAGATTTTAACTTCATAACAAATCTGTAAATTTAGAATTTAATTAAAAATAAATGTTCGATATGAAAAATATGTGGATAATCATTTTAGAAATTTAAGATATTTAAATAAAACATAATAATCAAAGTGACAAATTGTTAAAGATTAAAATGAAAATGGAATAACGAGCCAGTTCTTTTTTTTTTTTTTATGTTGTCACAAATACTAAAATAACAACCAAAATCTTTACAGATTTTTAACCTACCAAAGACTTAAAAAATTTTAAGCAGCACTGTGCAGAGTGATATGATATTAAAGATAGTGAACATGGAATAAGACTTACTGGTTTTTCTTTTACATTTATTTGGTTCAATAGGCTGTTAAAAATACTAAAATAGCAACCAAAGTTATTGCAAAATAACATTCTGTTAAAGATGCAAATAAATATGAAATGAGACTTCCCCCTATTTTTTTTTTTTGGTTCAACCGGCTGCCAAAAGTATTAAAATAGCAGCAAAACCATTAAAGGTATTTAACCTACCAAATACTCAGAATTTTTTAAGTGACACAATGCAGAGTATATGCTATTAAAGATGAAAATAAAAATGTAATGAAACCCGCTGCAAGAATTTTTAGAATTAGATAGAACTATCAAAAAAAACTTTCTCTAGAAAAGTAAGTAATGATCGGTTCTTTTTTTGGTTCAACAGGCTATCAAATGTTCTAAGTAATAGCCAAAATCATTGTAGGTTTTTAACCTACCAAATACTCGAAGGCTAAGCATGATGATACAGAGTGACATGCTGTTAAAGATAAAAATGAAGATAAAATGAGACCAGCCAATTCATTTTATTCTTTTCTGTTTAGTTCAACAGGTTTGCCAAAAATACTAAAAATAATTGCTAACATTATTATAGATTTTTAAGCTATCAAAGAATAGGAACCTTTAAGTAGGACGATACAGAATGACATAGTGTTAAACATGAAAGTAAAGATTGAATTAGGCCCACAATTTTTTTTTTGTTTAACAGACTGTTAAAAATACTAAAATAGTAAAAAAAGCCATTGCAAGCTTTTAATCTACCAAAGACTAAGAATTTTTTACAATTTAATATATCTGAATTCATGTTGTCAACATGTAATAAAGCATATATTTCTAAAAATTTTTGTATATTTCACATTTTGATTAATTTATTCATTGAAATAGTTTCAAAGAATCAAATCTGTCTTAACCGTGCAACGCACATGCACAATACTAATAAAGAATAAAAGAGGCATGAGGAACTATAAATATTGAGCTCTCCCATCGTCCTCCATTAATAGAGGATGAGAATGTAGTAGTTGTTCAATATGTGTTTTTTTTTCCCCTCTAAGAATTATAATCAAAATTATGGTTTTATTTGGTAGGGCTTTCTAATTTTTTATTATCTGTGTCCTTATCACCCATAATTAGCGACTTCAATGAAATCCATGTAACAACTAATACGTTGCGAGTTAGGAATGATAGTTTGTGATCAATTTAAATTTAAATAAATTTTAATTTCTTGCTATCTGGAATAGATTTCCTTCAAATATCTACATAACGAATAAAAATTTTTATATGGGTACTATCTATACTCCAAAAAAAGTAATTCAAATTGAGGTACAAATCTCAAATGTCATCGACTTTTTTTTCGGAATAGAGAGAATATAATACAAACAAAGATAATTATCTCACTAAAATCAATATAATCAGAACAATTATTTCCAATTTATTCATAAGATACAAATGCGCGAAGGATATAAATATTTTCTCTAGTCTAAAATAATTGTTATATTGTTGAACTAACAATATATAAAAAGTGTAGATACTTATTTTGGGACAAAAGAATAACATATGTGGATGATAACAACACCCCGGCCTCTCATTATCTTATCACACTTGCTTGAACTGCAATTTCATGTATCCAAGTACAGATTTGAAAGCCACGTACGGTCCACGATGTCTTTTTTTTTTTTTTTTTTCTGTTAATCTTCTCTTTTTCTCTTACTCCTCATGGCCCCTTAAGCCCATCTTCTCAGTGTTGCTATAGGCTATAGCCCATCTCCAAGTTGACCCAACTTCAACGATTGCCGAGAGAGAGGCCTGATTCATAAAGAAAGAAAATGTACCATCCAAACATCGATTGCTCTAGTAACTGGTGTTTGCTTTTGGGAAAGGAAAGCTATGTCTGTGTTTTTAGATCACATCGATGCTTGTGATTAACTCATGGTTATGTTTGGGTTGTTTTTTAGTGTGTGATTTTAAGTGTATTTTTTTATTGAAAATATAAAAATATATATTGAAAATATGAAAAAAATAATGTTGGGAAGAGACACTTACTAATAAATAAATATGAAAAAACCATAAAAAGGTACATTATTGGAAATCATTTTTTTAATCAGGATTTGCACTTAATAATTTTGCGATAGGTAAATCCACACATGTTAGTAGTAGTAATCTTTCTTTGCACGGATGTGCAAGCACTTTAACAACATCATAATTCATCAGACATGTAAGACTTTTTAGTATTCCAATTAATCAAGTAATTCGTACATTATTGGAAATCATATTTTTTAAAATCATGATTTATGCTTCGCAATTTTGCGATAGGAAAATCAACACATTTAGCTGTGTCGAGAGTATACTACTTCACTCATTTTTACCTCGAATTCCCGTAAGGTTTCAAGTTCTATTTTAAAAAATAAAAGATTTTAAAAAAGTTCAAAATGGGTTCAGCTATCAAGTGTCAATTTTAAGAAGTTCTGATGCGACTTTTTATTCTTATTATTCTTAAATTTATTTTTATTTTATTTTTTTGGAAATGTCCAAATTTAGCTTCCAACTTAAAAATTACAATCTCTTCGTTATCAGACTACCAGCTAAAAAGGAAACAAATGATTGATTATTAAAAAAAAAAATTTGAAATGTTCACTAACATGATTTTGCCTTTAACATATATATCCTACAATTTGTCGGTAAGGTATGGACTATTGTGATTTACCAAATTAAAAGAAACAAAAAAAAACCCCCCCATAATTGACCCATTGGATTGACAATATGGAAACCATATCTAACTCTTTAGTTCAGTATAAGAATGAACACATGATTTTTTTATAATAATGTATACATTATTAATTTTTCATGATTCACACCAAAATTTGAGCTCTCCTAATATAAAAAAAAGAAAAGCAAACGGCAACGCCCAAAGGTGTAATAATAATAGAAGAACAAGAAAAAGGGGTAGAAAAAAACTATTCCACTAAAAGAAAAAAAGATTTACAGTGCATCATAACTCCCAAGAACATCTACTTCAGAAGAATCATGGCTAAACAAATCAGCAGATAGCAATCCTTGAAAGAAGTGTTCGTTGATAAAGGATTCATCGAAAGTCGGCGGCCCATCACTGTGTTCATGTTCTTGTTCCTCCACCAAATTAGACTCTGAACTTGAAGGCGAAAAAGATGATGAGGAATTGAGATGATGATGATGGTATTGGTGGTGGTGGTGATTGTCGGCCGTAGATTTCGAAACCCTTTTGAGATCAGGCATAATTTCGAAGCCTTGATGAAGGAATTCTTTAGAATTAGAAGTGTAGTTGTTGTTGTTGTTGTCGGAATCCATGTATCTGGAGATGTCGGAATCTCTGCCGGTGAGTTCTTGAACAAGTGTTCTGAATCTTGAAGCACTGGTTTCAACCTTCATTGGGCTGGAAATGTAAACAACTTTTAGAAGTGAATCCATTGATGACTTCTTCTTCCGCTTGCACTTGTTGCTTCGGTTCATCACTTGTGGCATAAACTCCATTGTTTCCCTTTTTATATAAGTCTCAAAATGGAATCTTTGAAGCAATAGTTTGATGATTTGAGATTGAAGGGTTCACTAAAATAAGGTTTGTTTGCTTGGAAGATTTGATTTGGAGGAAAACACAAAGTGAGGTTATATATATAAGGGGGAGTACAAAGTCAAGTGGAGATATTAAAATCTGGTTAAAAATTTTTGTCACAAGGGCTGCTATTTCTTGGAAGGGGATAAGATTAGAGAAAAGAAGAAAAATACAAGAATTTGGTAGGGAAATAGGAAGATGAAAGGAAATTATAGCCATGGAAGATTCGGTAAAGGTGCTTACATGACCCGCAATGCGGTGTTACTTCCTGTCACCAACATAACAAATCGGAGATAAATAAATAAAAAAAAAAGATAATCTTATCAATTGGTATAGTAAAATGAACTTTCACTTTAGGGGAAAACAAGTGTAATAAGGTTTCACGAGTGAAGAAATTGACATATTATCTTTTTGTGATCCATCCAATGAGCACGACTACTTTCTCAAGTGTATAAATAAATAGATTAAATGAGTATACGTGATGAACACATTGAAAGATTATAATCATTTTAGGAATGTTACTGTCACTTGAAAATAAGGTTTTAGAGGTTTAGAAATTGAATCCATTTATCGTGAAGTGTTTTAAAAACGGTTCTTACATCTTTCGTTAATTTAAAAAAGAAAAAAAACAAAGAAGCAAGAAGCAAAATTGAATAATGTATATATGGACGGCGGATCACTTAGTAGATGAATTTATAAGTTACATTTCGTATCATTACATGAACTATTAAATGGATGATTACCCCATTAATCAGAATATATCGAGCCAATAATCTTTTGTTCTATTTATCAAAATCTTAAACAACTATTACTTGCTTAACCAAATGATTCAATGATATAAACACCTAAAAGTGAGATTTTATAAACTTCGAAGAAAAAAAAAAGAAAAGAAAAAAGAGTGTATGTAGTGACAAAAAGCAAGATGATTACACCAGCCATCTTTTCTTATAGCCTCTCGAATCAAAAAGAAAACAAAAAAGGCAAGATTAGTTTAGAGAAGACTTTGAAAGACTTGATTACATTTGTCACATTAAATTAAGCAATTGTTTTTCTACTCAATCAAAACCGGAGGCATTGTGAAAACCCCACGTGCGCAGACATAGAAGACTGATTTTTGGTGTAGGATTCTCCAGGCAAGCTTTTAATATTATGGATGGACTAGAGATCCCCTATTTCATCATATACATGGGTTCAGATTATTGGTTTCTTTTAAAACCTCCTTTTAAGATATTTGGAATTTCTTGAAGCTGATGTGGGATATCTCATAAGTACATACATTGCATAGTTTGTTATTTGTTAGCTATGTTTGATTTGATGATAGACGATAAAATTCAAACGTTGCTTATATTCAATGGTTAATGATATTTTTAACAATTGTGCACATTCCATTTGCCAAAATTAAAACTCTCAGATCAATATTTTCCAAGAGTTTGGCGTCTTCTTTCCCAAGTTACTTCGTACGATTTTCTTCGGAGAGAAAAATTTGACAACTTCTTATACAGTTTCAAAATATCGTCTCTACACTTTTTTTTTTTTGTTATGTGTGTGGTGTGTGTGTGTGTGTGTGTTTTCAACACAAATTGATGTACACTAAACCTTCTGGTTAACATGATCCGCACCTAAACTCTAAACGTCAATCCAATCCTTTCAACGATCGTGTTTTAGTTCTGAATTGATTTTAAACTCAAATGTTGGATTTTATTGCATGTCTGAAGGAGTTGATATTTTCGGAGGAACGAATGTTAGTGATAACAAGATAGTAAAACTGTAAAAAGTAATATATATATATATATATACACACACACGAAAGTAAAATTACATTAAGCGAGCGTCCGTTAGAATGTGTACCAATGCGGTAGTATGGGATCGAGAAGATTAGCTGCAAGTCCCCCAAAAAAAAAAAAACAAAAACAAAAAGTTTATAATGGCACGCAAAGGTCGAAGAATTAAACAGTTTATGCTAAAGCTAGCTTTCATTAATCTCATTGGCAAAAATCAATGCTTTTTCAGTTGAAATTTAGCAGCACAATTTAATGCTCCTTCTGTTTTAAAATTTTACTTTTAGTATAATTTGAACTAAAAATGAAAATCTAAACTGGACAATAATTATAGGACGGAGAGAATAACTAAATAAACTCCTTTGAAATAGAACGAAATGAGCATAAACATCGTTAGTGGGGAAAATGGTCTTTGCAAATTTGCAATATTTTAATTGTGGCCTAGAGTGTACGTACAACAAGGGCTGCGCCGTGCAGTTAATAATAATTTGAGTGCTTTTCATGTCATATTATAGACAAGGCTGGGAATTTGGCGTTTAAACCTATTTGAGGCTGCGAAAACAAGGATAACGTAATAAATTTATTAAATCTACGTAAGCTTTTTGGTTTTGTATGCATTGCCTTTCTTTTCACCAACAAAATGAATTAATTTTTTATTATATTTTTTACATAAGCTCCAAATTAACTCTCAAGATCATAAATAAAGTGTAAAAAACAGGTAATTAAGGAATATTCTTTTTTTTTTTTGTGAAAAGGTAAATTTTATACAATATCACCAAAATAGTGAAAGCTCATTACATTTTAATTCCTAACTATTACAAAACTTTTTGAGGTTATTAAGCAGCTCTCTGCAAACATTCTATAACATTTTCCATCTAATCAGATTTTTTACTAGAATAGCTCAAAAAACCTATTCAAAACCTGTCTTTCTGATGCACTCCATCTGCCTTCTTTCAGCTTGTCAATCCTGCTCTTCAATTCCCCCTGCAAACAGTGCAACAAGCCTCAGGAGGTCTTTCCACACCTTCAAATTGTCTCCTATTTCTTTCTATCCATAGGTGGTATATGCGGCCAATAACAGCAGCTCTAAATATTATGCCTTTCAGTTTCTGCTTCTTTCACAATTTCAACAGTTGAGTTTGCCATCTGTGCTTCTGATCTACAATCTTTCTACATTTCAGCCACCCTCTCAACAGTTCCAACAAGCATCTGGAGTAGCTACCTTGAAAGAAGAGATGGTCACAAGTCTCTGCCTCTACTTTGCACAACCAACAAGAAGGCTCAATCCTGTCCTTAGTTAGTATCCTCTGTTTGTATTACTAACCATGCTATGAAAGCATGCTTTGGTACATTTGCTCTAGTCCATAAACAGCTTGCCAACTCATCTCTCACATATCTTCCAAGCAGCCACTGGTAACCAGATGAAACCGAATACATTCCATCTTTCTAATTCTTCCACCTAACTCCTTCAAATCTCTCTTTAAAGTGATCTCTCAGCTTCAGAAGTTGTTTCCACTGCCAGCTCGAGTCAGCTTTTAGGGAGACATCACAAAATGTGGACTTCTTGATAAACACTCCATGGATCCACTTTACCAGGGACTCCTTGTTCATCATCAGCTGCCACACTTGCTTGAATACTAAGGCCTTGTTCCACAGCCTAGCATCCTTAATACCAAGGCCACCTGCTGATTTACTTTTGCATACATCACTCCAGCTCACCAATGATAGATACCTACTCTCAATTTTGCCTCCCCACAAGAATTCTCGACACACCTTGTTCACAATTTCTGTCACCTTCTGAGGTAATAAAAACATACCCCCCCAATGGCAATGCATAGTCATAAGCACAGAGTTCACTAGGACCACTCTCCTTGCATATGAAAGATGTCTAGAACTCCAACATCTGATCCTAGCAACTATCTTATTGACTATACATTGACACTACCTGATTCTATTTTTTTGGAGACAAAGTCACCCCTAAATACTTCATAGGAAATGAACCCTTGCTAAACCCTTTGATATTACAAAATAACTCATGCTCCCTGATGCCTATACCCCCAAAGAATATCTAAGATTTATGAGTATTCACAACCATCACAACCAACCCTGTTACATCAGAGAACTCCCAAAACACTTCCATAATAGCAGAAACAGTTGGAACATCTGCTTTGCTAAACACCATAAGGTCATCCGCAAAGCAAATGTTCGTGAGATTTAACTGTTTACAAAAAGGATGAAATTGAAACCTCTCATTAGCTATTCTTTTCAAACTCCTAGTTAGGTATTCCATTACTAGGACAAACAACAAGGGAGAAATTGGGTCTCCTTGTCGTAAACCCCTTTTTTCAGCAAAGAATCCAACAGAGCACCCATTTAACGCCAAAGTAAAAGATTTGGACGTAATATAAGACATGACCCACCACCTAAATAGCTCCGGGAACCCATACCCTATCAGCATTTCTTTGATAAAACCCCACTTAACACTATCATAATCTATTTTCATGAAGAGCCTACCACTAATTCCTTTCCTACCATATAGTCTACTAAGCTCTTGTGTAATGAGTACATTATACATGATTAATCTATCTTTAACAAAGGCATTCTGGTTTTCATCTACCAAAACAGGCAATACAGGTTTCAATCTATTACATAAGATCTTCGATATACATTTATAAATAACATTGTAATACACTATTGGCCTAAAATGATTAGCATTCAATGCGGTTTCAACTTTTGGAATTAATGCTAGAGTAGTAGTATTTATTTGTTTAAGTACCTTCCCTATTGTAAAAAACTCCAGCACAGCATCTGTTACGTCTTTTCCCACCACCTCCCATGCAGGTTTGTAGAATCCCGAGCCAAATCCGTCAAGTCCTGGACTCTTGTTTGGATCCATCTCCTAGATTACAGCTTTTACCTCCTCCCTTTTCGGTCTGATCAGCTTCAACTGTTGGTCACTACTTAGCACAGGGCCAGATGTGAAAACAGCATGGTTCGTCTTCTTCCTGGCAGATGCTTGACCTAATAGCTTCTGATAGAACTCAACAAAGTTATTAGCAATAACTTCCCACTCCGTATATTCCACCGCCTCTGTATCCACCACTATCCAGATTCTATTTTTCATGTTCCTGAACTTTAGGATAGAATGAAAGTACCTGGTGTTAGAATCTCCCTCCTCTATCCACTTTGTCTTTTCCTTTTGCTGCAAGAAAGAGTTTGCAGCAGTTCGACCAGCCAGGTAATCCTTATACGCTTGTCTTCCCTCAGCTTGTAAATCTATGTTGCATGGATCTCCACTCAATTCTAACTAGAATGCTTCCTACTTCAATTGCTTCCTCTGAGCCACTTCCACAATATCTCCAAACTGAGTCTTATTGAGTTTTCTTAAGGGGGCTTTCAATAATCTCAGTTTAGTACATACTTGAAACATCAGTGTCCCTTTCACTTCCCTGCTCCACACCTGTTGAACAATCTCCTCAAATTTTATAGTTTGACTCCACATATTAAAGAAGCAAAAAGGACCTGGTTTTTTATTTACTGCTCCCTCTATTTGCAAAACAAGAGGAGAGTGATCTGATATGCTTTCCACCTGTACAAAGGCAACAGATTCATTGAACATGTCAACCCAATCCCCATTCACCAGCACTCTGTAAATTCTTGAATAAACTCTCTCACTCCCCAATCTTTGGTTGCACTAGGTAAAGAATTTTCCATGCTGCAGTAAATCCCTCACCCCACATGCATCAATGCAAAGCTAAAACTCCTGTATATCCCTCAGCTCAACTGGTTTTCCCCCAAGCTTCTCCTTAGGTTGCAAAATATTGTTAAAATCACCAATCCATACCCATGGTTCCTGCGTCTGCTGAGCAAGCCTGGTCCGCTCCTCCCATAGCTTACTACGTTCCCCAATCTCATTAGATGCATATACACAAGTGAAGTGCAATCTATTTCTATTCTTCTTTCACATACAGACACAATGTATAAACTGTTCATGCTCATATATTTTTGGTACCACCACACTATCATTCCACATTAATATATTTCTACCTCTATCATTAGAGGCATAGTTTGAGGTCCAATTCATGCCCTGCCAGTACTGCTGCATATATTCCTCCCCTCGTTTCTTTACCAACTTAGTTTCTACTGACCTTACTATACTGTACTGCCCTTGCTTCACCCTTCGTTGCAACTCTCTTTGTTTCAGGTGTGAGTTTAAACTCTTTATGTTCCATACCAGGATATTACACACTAGAGTTAGGTCCTGGATCAAGCAATATGCCCAATTCACACCTAGCTCCAATGCTAAAAATACCCACAATGCCACTGGTTTTAACAGCATTTTCAAGATCCTCTGATTGAAGGATCCTAACAACTGCTTCCTGAGTATATGTTGCACTAAGGGTAGCTCTATTCCCTGGTGGGACCTCTTCCACTTGACTTCCAATTCCTTTAGTATTAAGCTGCTTACTAGTCACACCCACAAGTTGCCCTTTCGACTTAACAATCTGGATACCATCCTCTTGACCTATCCCTATATTCTTAATCCCTGAGACTTCCACCGCTTCTTTTCCTTTCTCAATTCTCCTCCACTCTGTACTAGGTGTCGTTGGTTTAACTGTTTCAAATTTTCTCTTTATCCTGCAATTTTCAGTTTTATGCCCAAATCCTTGACACTTTTTACACTGAGTGGGGATCCATTCATAAACTACCTTTTGAACCTTAATATTACCTTGCTCATCCTCAAATACTATTCATTTAGGCACATTCTCTGTAATCTCCATTTTCACAAATATTCTCGCATACTGAACCCGTCTTTTACTCACTGTATACTCATCAGCTAGTATAGGACTTCCAATTGTACTAACTAAGTCACCTAGAGTATTCAGATTCTAGTATTTTAACTCCAATCCATGTAATTGCTCTCAAACAGGTATTTTATCCACTTCTCTATAGTTCAAACTCTGCTCTACACTCTAAGGTTTGACAATAAAATGGTTTATTACCAAAGTGCCTAATATTACTACTTTGTACTTCATCCCTAGCACCAGAATTCTTAAACCAAACAACAAATAAACCAGAAGGCAATTGAATTATCTGTTCGATTCCTAGTTTTTCCCATGTTTGTCTGAAGTAATCCTCCATCACCCACTTGGGAGGGTTGGCTCCCAATACAAAGCAGGCCACAAAATTCTCCCAATAAACCTCTTCAGCGTCGACAACTTCAATTCATACCTTTGCCACCTTCTGTCTATCTCTCTGACAGGGAGGGGGGGTTTAACTTCAGCTTCCCTGTTGGCGCTTTTAATTTTCCAACATCAAATCTTTCCCAAACGTTCCCACTGGATTCTAATGCCCCCTCTTGATTCCAGTGAAGTTGTCGCTTAGCGTTCTTATCCTTCTCTCAATTTTCCTCCTCATCTTTTGCTTTCCCACTGTAGAAACACTCTGATCTTTCAGCGTTTGGAGATTCACTTTTCCCAGATCTTTCGTCTGCTTCGTGGAAGATGAAGCCTCAATCTCAGCAACCAACCGTTCTAACTCTTCTTCTTGTTGAACCCTAATCACTTTCCCAAAACTCCTTTTCTCACTTCTTCCATCAGAATTCTCCCGATTCACCTTCTCACTGCCACCATCCGGACGCGAATCGACGTTCGAATCACCCACTCTTTCTTCCAGCGTTTGGAGATTCACTTTTCCCAGATCTTTCGTCTGCTTCGTGGAAGATGAAGCCTCAATCTCAGCAACCAACCGTTCTAACTCTTCTTCTTGTTGAACCCTAATCACTTTCCCAAAACTCCTTTTCTCACTTCTTCCATCAGAATTCTCCCGATTCACCTTCTCACTGCCACCATCCGGACGCGAATCGACGTTTGCTGTATTATTCAATGGTTTCTCCTTCCTTCTCTTGTTCACCATAACTGGCGATCAGAAGCTGAACGTCGAAAGAACGGAAGAAATCGCACATATGAAAACGTAGAATCACCCACACACAGCGCGTGTATTAGCAAACATAATTTGTATCTTTTCAAAGACTTATGTATTTTATTTAGGAATATTCTTATTACTACTTAGTTTAAACTTGTATATTTGAGGAACGCTTTTTTATTTAATGAGTTGCGTGATACATTGAACAACAATTCTTCAAAGAAATTATTGTTAATAAGACTAAAAATAATGTGTCTAAACGTAAATCCACTTAAATATGAACGAGAGTGATTTCATTGGCATCAATTTCAATGAAGTCTTTTCGAACATGTTTAATTAACTATACTATATATCATTATGCTTGATGAGAAATGATGATACGCTATTTAAATCGGCCTCTTCCCTAAATGAAGAAATCATTTAAAAATAGTCTTTTTTTATCTTAACCCCATAATAATAATAATAATAATAATAATAATAATAATAATAATAATAAGGGTCCTCTTATCTTTAATAGGAGGACCACAACGTTATCATTCATTAATTGTTTGTCCTGTTGTTTATTTTTTTGCTCCACAAGCAATGTTTCGTTAATATCTAAGGATATTTGAGAAACCTCTGTAGAGTACGATCTAGAATTCTAGATGCAAGTTGATATTATTTTGGTACTGAAAGAAAGGGAACTGACATTGTTGACGAAGACTTTGAAGTCCTGTTTGAATTGATTTGCCTTTTATCCTTTCAATTTGGCATTAACTTTATATATATATATATATATATATATATATATATATATATATATATATATATTTGTTAAAAGGATTCTTCTTGTGTGGTGTTCGCATATGCTTCAATGGGACCTTCGACAACAACTATCTGAAATAAACTTAAATATATATATATGGTTGAGATTTTTTTTTCTCCCCTTTTCTTTAACAAATATACTCCTTCTTTTAGTCCCAAAACAAATAATTTTCATAAACCGAACAGAATAAGAAGGTGCGCTATTCTCTTCTTTACAGGAAAGAATAATTTACTATGTATATGAGGGGGAGAAAAGATTTAGCCTAATGGCTCATTTGGGAACCTATCGTGTGCTAAGACACGCACACACGTATTTGCTGAGTGGTTACCGTTTTTAGTCTTCTTAAATTTTTAAAGTGATTTAAAATATTTTTTTTTTGCAAAATAATTGTCTAATTTAAAGTTCGAACGTTAAAATACAGTGCGGGCTTCTTTTTTATTTTTTTTGTTAAAACTGAATGCGTACAATTTTTTCTGAAAATGAAATATAAATTAATTAAATATTTTAAGATGGTGAGAATACAATATATATATGTATATATATATATATAGGGAGTGGCTAGAATCCCGTTACGGGTCCGTTTTAGGATAATAAGCGTAGGATTAATTAGACTAATTAATAACCGTAGGATTAAAAAAAGGGTGCATCATAAATAAATACACCTAAATCCACATGATTAAACAGAAAAAATTTAAGAAAATAGTCAATTTTGCCCAAAATTTTAAGTGTCGGGCCAATTTTGACCCGAAATATTTTTTGGAAGCTAAATATCTAAGTTTTAATTTCTAGCCAATTAACAAAAATTCAGTTAAATTTAATACCTCTGCTAACATTTTATTTTTTACGGTTTTTTTATTAGAAAAAGTTTTTCCGAACCCCATAATTTTGACATCTTTACCCCCAATGATTTTAGTTGTTCTAAAATATACCCATAGAATTTTCAAAATCAATAAAATAAAATAAAATTAATAAAAAAATATTTTTAAAAAATTTAAATTTAATTTTTTAAAAAACTTTTTCTTTCTTTTTTTTTTACCCAAGTCCATCACTGTAAAATTTTCATCCTATATTTTATTAATTACAATGAAAATATTTATTTTCTAACAAATTAATATTAAATATAATAATACTAAATAAATTAAAAATGGAAATCACAACTAATAAAATAATATAATATTAATAAAAAATTTATTTTTAAAAAATCAAAATTTAATTTTTTTAAAAAAACTTTTGACGCATCACTCTAGAATTTTCATTCTATTTCATCCTATATTTTGTAGATTCTACAATTTTTTTGTTAGAATCTACTAATAGGTAAATATAAATCACAACAATTTCATAAATTAAAACATATCCAAAATAAGAAATTAGATTAGAATAAAATCTTAAATTTTAACTTAATTATTCATTTTATCAGAACTTGTCGTAAATATAATATTTTTACTATATTCTAAGCACACCAAATTAAAAATTATATCAAAATTTGTGCAACGAAGGTAAATTTATTTTTTAAAAAAATTTCATTTGAGTTTCAAAAATTAAACTTTTTAACTTTTTATTAATTTAATATTTATTTTAATTCGTAATTATTTTTATGAATATTATTATATTAATATTTGTATTAATATTTTATTCAATATTAATTTTTTTAAAAAATAAATACTCCCTCCGTCCCATAATTATTGTCCAGTTTGGATTTTCATTTTTAGTTCAAATTGTACTAAAAGTGAAATCTCAAAGTGGACAATAATTTTGGGACAGAGGGAGTATTTTTTATTTCGAAAATACCCTATTGACTTAAATATAAAGATGGTCAAACTCTTGGAATAAAGATGGTCAAAGTCAAACTCTTGGAATGGTGCCAAAGAACAAAAAAAGTTACAAATAAAAATATAACGGACTATTTTAACCAAATATTAATTTGTAAGACTACAATGTGCATTTGGCCTAATATAAAAGACCATGATACCAAAAGAGTAATTAGTTTGAGAAATTGTAAAATGTTTCTCACCCTATGATTACATCTTATATCCTCAATATTGATTGATTAAAGATAGAACGGTACGGTTCTGTAAAATTGGCCTCTAGATTTTCCCATATATATATGTATATATATATATATATATATATATATATATATATATATATATATATAGAGGAGCTGCTAGAGTCCCGTTACGGGACGGTTCCGTTTTAGGATAATAACCGTAAGATTAATTAAACTAATTAATAACCGTAGGATTAAAATGAGGGTGCATCATAAATAAATACACCTAAATCCACATGATTAAACAGAAAAAATTTAAGAAAATAGTCAATTTTGCCCAAAACTTTAAGTGTCTGGCTAATTTTGACCCAAAAGATTTTTTGGAAGCTAAATATCTAAGTTTCAATTTCTAGCCAATTGACAAAAATTCAGTTTGATTTAATACCTCTGTTAACATTTCGTTTTTTTCGGTTTTGTTTTATTAGAAAAAGTTTTTCCGGACCCCATAATTTTGACATCTTTACCCAATGATTTTAGTTGTTTTAAAATATACCCATAGAATTTTCAAAATCAATAAAATAAAATAAAATTAATAAAAAATTATTTTTAAAAAATTTAAATTTAATTTTTTAAAAAACGTTTTCTTTCTTTTTTTTATCCAAGTCCATCACTGTAAAATTTTCATCCTATATTTTATCAATTACAATGAAAATATTTATTTTCTAACAAATTAATATTAAATAAAATAATACTAAATTAATTAAAAACTGAAATCACAACTAATAAAATAATATAATATTAATAAAAAAATTTATTTTTAAAAAATCAAAATTTAATTTTTTTAAAAACTTTTGACGTACTTTTTAAACTCCAGCCCATCACTCTAGAATTTTCATTCTATTTCATCCTATCTTTTGTAGATTCTACAATTTTTTGTTAGAATCTACTAATAGGTAAATATAACTCACAACAATTTCATAAATTAAAATATATCTAAAATAAGAAATTAGATTAAAAAAAATTTTAATTTTTACTTAATTATTCATTTTATCAAAACTTGACGTAAAATTAATATTTTTACTTTATTCTAAGCACGCCAAATTAAAAATTATATCAAAATTTGTGCAACGAAGGTACATTTATTTTTTAAAAAAATTTCATTTGAGTTTCAAAAAATTAAAATTTTTAACTTTTTATTAATTTAATATTTATTTTAGTTCGTAATTATTTTTATGAATATTATTATATTAATATTTGTATTAATATTTTATTCAATATTAATTTTTTTGAAAAATAAATATTTTTTATTCCGAAAATACCCTATTGACTTAAATATAAAGATGGTCAAAGTCAAACTCTTGGAATAGTTCCAAAGAACAAAAAAAGTTACAAATAAAAATATAACGGACAATTTTAGCCAAATGTTAATTTGTAAGACTACAATGTGCATTTGGCCTAATATAAAAGACCATGATACCAAAAGAGTAATTAGTTTGAGAAATTGTAGAATGTTTTTCACCCCATGATTACATCTTATATCCTCAATATTGACTGGTTAAAGATAGAACGGTACGGTTCCGTAAAATTGACCAACGGGACTCTAGATTTTCTCATATATATATATTATATACATATATATATATATATATCTTACTATATTAGAAACAAAAACTACACTTAAGAGAAAGCACCACCATTTGCCATATGGCATTTCCACATCATATTTTTAAAATAAATTTTTATTTACACATCAGTTTCCTAGACTTAAAAGGCAAATACAGTCCAAATCCACCACCACCTCCTATTTTTGCCAAAACAAAAAAAAAACACGGCTTCATAAAAAACACAAATCCTCATCTCCAATCCCTTCTCCACAATAAAAAAAAAAAAAAAAACAAATTTCTCATCAATCATCAATTGAGAATATGTGGTGAAATATACTTCTTTCCAATTAGCATGTTCAATCTTTTCATTAGTGATGATCAACTACATCCTAATCAGATAAAATTTTTACTTCAAAAAATATTTTCTTTACCTCTCTATATAAACACAAAGGGAAAAAAAAAATTCTCATTGATGTTGCTTTCGACTGTTGTGGTGGTGCCATTACAGATATTAAAATTTAAATGATTTTATATCCACAGATCATTTGTACGGCTTTTATTATTTTTTGTTTTTCCCGTTCAAGAATAGTGTTAT